CCACAGATGCGAAAGCTTGAGTAGGCGCCCACTCGCTGGTTGGTTGCTATGATCTAAAAAGTAAATGTATAAAAATGTAGGTTGTAGTAACTGCGATACCTGTGCAGCAGTGTGGAGGGAAGGATATGAAGGTCTAGAGGTACGGTTTAGGAAAGACATGCAATGTAGCTGCGCGAACCTTGTACAATTCCTAATTCCTACAACTATTATAAATTTTAAATTTTGTGAGTGGCTATGTGGGTATGTTTGTTGCACTTTCATTAGGATTGTTGATATTAGATATGTATATCGATCCCGGGGGACCCAAAAAAATGTGGAAACCGGGGAAACCAGCCAACAAAGGAGAATCGTATCGGCCGATAATGCTCCTTTATCCCGTCGGGAAGACTCGGACTTATCAAAGGCGTTTGACACCGTTTGTCATTCCATGTTGCTCGAAGGCATTGAGACTTTTTCTGTTCTACAAAGTCAGACGCTGGTCGGGGAATTATGTGAGTGGTCGACAGTCGTCGAGTTCAAACCTCAAAACCTAAAATAATTATCAAGAGGTGTGCCAGGCTGTACCTTCTGATATCGACTGAGTACCACCTGCACAGCGTGGCCGCCGAAATACTTCTCGTAAGGGAGCATAACAAAATGCTTAGCTAGCAGTTCCTGGTGGAATGTCACAGACGTGAACCCTTAACAGACCCCCTTTGCTCGAGGAGGAACCTACGCCCAGACACATCAGATGGCACGTATTCTAATACATGAACGCGGTCCTCGCGTGCATTGACCAACCAACCGCATTCATAGGGATTCGGTAACCACCCACCACGACTACGGTGCCGTGAATGCCGTCATCGGAGCCCAATCACCACCCGTAGCAGACACGGAGTTTCAACTGCGAGGGAGACCCGCGTTACTCTGGCCCAACTACGGTCTGGATATTTCAGCCGTCTCAACAGATACCTGTCCAAACTCGTTCCCAATATACATAATGAGTGTCCTGAGTGTGGGGACTGCCCGTACGACCCCAACCACCTCTTCACATGCCAGCTCAATTCCACTTAACTAAAAACCTCTTCCTTTGGTCCGACCCCCTCGAAACAGCCCGTTTCTTGGGCCTGCATCTGATCTAGGCCTGGGTAACGGCGCAAATTTTTTGGCGCTGACACACTAACTCCAGCGCCACTGTCGGAATCAACACAGTGTGTTGGCGCAATGGCCCCTCTTCAGGCTAAAGCATATTTCCTTTATTGCTGCACGCTGCACCAAAGTGAATTAATACAAGGTTATATCGGTTGAGAAAAAACTCAAGTATACCCAAGTTCAAAACCCAAAAATACAACAAACCCATAATTTTCACATTCAGAAGGACCGCGACGAATTCTAGCAACACCACCTTGTATAAATTCGCCTTGTGCTGCACATTTTACAAGAAACCCTTCTATTTCGGGTGTTCTTTGCTGGTCCTTTGCGACACCCGGATGTTGTCAGAGTTTCGGTGTTGAACTAAGCTGAATTAATACAAGGTGGTATCGGTAGGGCAAAAACAACTCAAGTATACCCAAGTTCAAAAGCCAAAAATACAACAAACACATAGTTTTCACATTCAGAAGGACCGCGGGTAATTTTAGCAACACCACTTTGTAAAAATTCGCCTTTTGCTGCACATTTTACAAGTGACACTTCGCTTTTGTGTGTTCTTTGCTGGTTCTTTGCGCCGCCCGGTGTTGCTGGCGCCATTGCGTCACTGAGTTGTGACAATCGGTATCGGCTCCACTAACTCAGCTCTCGGTATCAGCGCAATGGCGCGGCGCCGCACTGTGTTACCCACGGCTAATCTGATCTTCATCAACATGATTTTGATAGCGATGGATGGCCACCGAGCGGGATATTGCCCCTAAGAGGCAGTTCTCGAGTCACGTTGAGGCTTGGACAGGCATTCTTAGAATATGTGGTGAAAAGTGTGCCGAAACTTTGCCGTTAAAATCTAAAAGCAGTATTTAACAAGGCGGCTTAAAACCATATCAATTCCGACTCGCTCGACAGAAGGTAAGTGGGTGTAGTAAGCACCTCAAGAATCTCAACTCAACTCAACTTGTAGCGCTCGCACAGGACGGGAACTGGATCTAGTAATTTGTTCTAAACTGCAAGTTTATTTTCAGCAACAATCCAACGTTTCGAAAAGAGTTTGACAAGATATGTGCTGGCATTGGGAGAGGCCTGAAGAGGATTGCAAATTTTATATTACTACATTAATATGTATATATATCCATAGAGTTCTCGGAAACGGCTCTAAGGATTTGGATGAAATTTTGTACACAGATAATGTTTTAGATTTTCAGGTTCTCTGAATAGGCAATATCTGCGAGAAGGCTCGTATAAGGTTGCCACCTATTCGAAATTAGTTACAAATTAATTAAAACATCATAATATGGGTACAAAATGGAAGGTATTTTAAAGATCTCTAATTCAAAAATATTTTTAATAATTTTAATTTATTTTGAATCGCATATTTATTTAATTTTTTGTTTAGAAAAAAGGTAAAATATTAATATTCATGGGTACCAAGAGAAGGTTCTTAAACAATGCTTTCCCTATACACAAATGTCTCAGGATAATAGTGTAAGGTTGCCACTTATTTTCGAGTCTACACAATTTATCTAAAACATCGCAATATGGTTACCAAATGAAAGGTATTGTTGAGAACTTTGGTCAGAAAATATTTTCCATCAGGGTTGCCACGCCTCCTTGTAATACAAATTTTTATTTTGTTAATCTCAATCAACATTTTTTTATATTTACATACATATGTATATGTTATGTATACACATACGCTCAAGATATGTACCATTCATTCCAGCGTATTTCGGAAAAGGGTGGCCTACTAAATTTTAGCGTAATAGGCAGCATACACGGTGCGTCTGACTCGCGAGTCATTTGTGTACGTATTGACTCGCCTTCGACCACATATAGTTGAATAATTCAGAGTCATCACGGCCCACCATGCAAAACATGAGAAATAGGCAACAATCGTCAATGGCAACAAATTGGCGACTCACCGGTTTATTGCTGTGGTGACAAATCGGCAACATCATTTCTTTCATGTCAACTTTGGAATAAATAAGCTATCAAAAATTCCTAAACTTATAAATTTCGCTTCGATAGTATTATCCAAAATCGTCTAATTTTTACCAGGGACAGAATTGAAAAAATAGGAAGCCCCATAGGGAAAGAAAGAAATTTCTGTTTCTATATAAATTCCAATTTTGTATACAAAAAATAATTGAAGTATTAAAAAGAATACAATTATTCCAAATATCGCCTGAAGCGATAAGAAAATGACTGATTCAGGTAATAAGAAAACGATTCGCCCAGGCGAGTTTCCTTCGGCGGACGTTTTAGAGCGACTGGTAATAGGAAATCGACACGATGGCAATATTACCGGCAATAAATTTGTTTCCGAGGGCGAAACGTTTTCTTATTGCCGGCAACAAAAATTGTTTGGTGGGGGGAGTCATGTTGGTGTAACTAACACATATTTATTTTCACAAACACATCCACACCGACTCACGAGGAATGCCGCCTATAAGGAATTTACTTAATAGATATGGAAATCCTATTTATTTCTTTTTTTTGTTTATTTCCAAAATATTTTTTTAAAGCCCCTCCCTTGTATGTTTTAATGTTTGAAAGAATGAATTTTAGTTTCTTCGAAAAATTTAAATAAAATTTGAATTGTAAGTTTGTTTTAAAATTTTATGAAATTAGAACTACAGTCTCTTAAGGTTGTAATATATGTAGATATCTTGACTTTTAGTTTAGAATTGAATAATATTCAATCTTTCATCGCGTATGTTTTAAATTTAAAAAAAAAATTTAAAATTTAAAAATTTAAATCTTGAAAACTTTAAAAAGTATATACACTCCGGGCAAAGCTCGGTCAACCTGGTACTAGAATCATGAAAGCAAAAAATATGGATATGGTTGCGCTAATTACTTTTTAAAGCAGTTTCTCAAAGTTTTAGAAAACCGGACGGCACGGACACCACTCGTACATTTCCAGGCTATATGATTTAGATTGCTGATATTCTATCACCAATCCAATTTCACGCCCTGGGAAGGTACGCCTCAGGCAAATTAAAATATATTTATTAAAAAAAAAAAAAAAAATTAGCTCTGTTTCCGCCCGGGATCGAACCGGGGGCCTTCCGCGTGTTAGGCGGATGTGATAACCACTACACCACGGAAACAGTTACCACGGCGTTGTCAAAGAAGCTAGAAGTCTTGCAATGAAAGCTTTTATATACATACACACAAAGCTTATTTTCTGTTTACATGTGTATTTATAACCGTGCACAGAGGAAAAGCTCATTCTGCCCATTACTGCATTACATACATATTTACTATTCACTTGCCAATAAAAGAACGCATTGACTCAACAAAATTTACGCAATATATGTCAACCAATAAGAATAAAATCAGTTTTATTTACTACATAAATTACATCACTCATTGGAAAATTCTTGTTTATGCTATTTCATGACAATCCAATATAATATAATTTAAAAAAAATGTATGTGGTGTATAAAAAAAAATAAAATATTTAGATCTGTTTCCGCCCGGGATCGAACCGGGGGCCTTCCGCGTGTTAGGCGGATGTGATAACCACTACACCACGGAAACAGTTGGATGCCGGCAGTCAAAGTCGCCATCTAACTATTTGCCAACAACAAAGGTGTACACACGTAAATATGTATGTATGTATGTGTATGGCATTGACCAAACAACATAAACAAAGATTTTTAAACAGCTGCCAAAAGCTACCTCGTCGTTTCTATACGAATTAAGTTGTTTTCTTTGCCTACAATAATAAATTATTAACAATAAATATAAATTTATTATTGAATCGTGGGTGGCATCTTTAATACATATAACTGCAATACATATTTACTATTCACTATATTACAAAATTAACGCCATTTATAGAAAGAAAAAAGAAACAAATCTTTTATTTGTACATAAATTACATCGTTCAATGTTGAATCCTTTATTTTCCTAGGTATTTCATAAAAATCCAATAGAATCAAAACACAAAAAAAAAATTCATTACAAAAAAAAAAAACCAAAAATTCGAATCGCAGTCGCTTTCTATGCATTCGATGTTTTTAGATGATGTTTTTTCTGATTTATCCTGTTACGACTACGTGCGATAAATTTTTTCATTGCAGTTTCGAAAGATTTCTTATCACTAAAATTAAAAACATCTAAATGGAAAAAGAATTCGAATTTAAGTACACATAAATCAATAAAAATAAATTAAAATTGATCTACCGAAAAGCATATCCGAAATTTGTCTATATCCTTTTAAAGGCAATCTTCCATGTAGACCATCCCAATTAAAAAAGCATAGGAAGTCATCGGTGTATATTTTACGTATTGCATAGTCAAAGCCGTTGAGATTTTTTAGTTTCACTAAGTATAGTCTCTAAATATAAGAAAAAAATTAAGATATGCATATATGTATGTGAAATAGAATATATCGTTATCTTAATATAGAAAGGCCCTAACTCATTTTCTTATGAAATTCAGATGTGCATAAACGTCAGTAGATTACTTACTAGGGACCTAGTTTCAGTGTTTATAAAAAACCAGTGTATGGAAAATTCGCAACTGCAGAACTTAAGTTTCCAAAAAATTGTATAACCATGTAAATAAGCAAAAATGTTAAACAGAGCCTTTCTAAATTAAGGTAAAGTTATGTATGTATGAAAATTTTTCATTCACCAACCATTGACTGCAGACATTCTTTGTTAGACAGCTTTTCTTCAAATTCATCCGCCGATTTAATCGTTGTTAATGGCAACATAGTAACAACTTCAGCCAGTGGGTCTGATTTGGTGACCTTTAGAGTAACCTTTCTATTGTTCGGCGTTTTGTCTTGAAGCATTACTTCAGATTGTGTGCTAGACTGAAAGTAGAAGTATTAAGTATACAAATTGAGGTTTAAAAGTAAGTTAGGCTAGTTTTATAAGTCGATATTTTGGAATGAATTAATATGGCTTGATGGTAGGAGCTGCCGGTGACCAAATCTCATTTTTGGCACAATTGTCAGTTACGCGGTCTTGTATTTTAAACAAGAATATGTTTGTACATACATATGCAACTTAATTAGAAGTTTATCAGCAGGAGTAAATGCATGGATGCAAGGCATTTTTTACCGTAGAAATTAATGTTGGTCTAGTTGAAGAAACAGTTTAGACAAAGATCCTTGTAATAATTGCTATCAGAAGTATATTTCCTCTTAGAACGCAGCTATTTTCGTTTAATTCTCAATGGGACAGTATGATACTTCACATCCATGCATTCCTTACGCTTCGCTACTTACATTTCCTGTGCAATATGTTCTCATATATTCTACGCAGTCTTCCAAATTCCTTAAGCGTGTGTCCAAGTTAGTCATATACACAGCTAAGTTATTTTGTTGATCTATAATGGCTTTTAATAGAGTAACAACTTCTGTAAAATTACTAGATGTGACATATGCATACAAATTTTTGATTAATACAATTTGGAAATACCTGCATTAGAATCCTTCGAAACAATATGTTCCACATGCTGAGGATCTACTACCAATCCACATGTACCTGAAGAATTTAATGCCATTGGAGTCACTATGGAACCAGCTTCATTAAATAATAGAATTCCGTTAACAAATGTATACATATGTATGTACATGTTGTTTCAATGATTGCAACTTTACCTTCTACAGAATTCTGCACCCGTTTCAATGGTGTTATGGTTTCGTCATTTTTAAGCGGCTTGTTTGGCCGTGCGGTTTCAAATTTACCTGCAGAGGAAGTGTTTACTGCTCGTTTGATGGGTGTGGCGTTTTTGTATTTACGTGAATGATCATTGGCAGTAACACTTCCTATACGCGGATAATCGGCCACTTTCCCAAATGTTGGATTTGCTATAGTACAAGTGTGATTCAATAATTGCATCTCGTAGGCCTTTAAATGGCATTTCCTTCAATTATTGCAACTTTACCTTCAAAAGAATTCAACATCCTCTTCGGTGGTGTAGCGCCTTCATCCGATGATTCCTCGTCTGAGATGGTTTCAACTTTAACTGTTTGAATGCTTACTGCTCGGTTAATTGGTCTGGCGTTTTCATCGTTTAACAGCAACCTTCGATAGTTTTCCACATTCTTTTCAAATGCTTTCTTCTCAATGCTCATTAGGTTAGCGAACGTTTTTTTATTCATATTGCCTGGGTATTTGGAGGAACAATCGCTTTTATTTTCAAATCTATCAACAATTTGTTAAAATGCAATTTCCAAACAAACAACAAACATCAATAAAGTCCGGTCGCTTGTGTTTTGATCACTTTCTACTTACACATCGTTTGCACGCGACAGTTTTAATTTTTTAGAGCAGCTGTTAAGGTGCGGTTAAACATTGAAATGCAAACGCTTCTACGGATTTTGCTTCCGAAATGTGAAAGCGAAGGTCTAGTTGCACACGTAAACACACAAAAATCCTTTTTGCAGAATTGCAAAAATCACTTTCGGAAATAAAAATTGCAAAAGATGTAACTGCAACTGAAATTACGCAAATTGAATTCGAGAAATAATTTCAACTTCCTCGTGCTGCACCAGAAATTTTCGTTTTTGCTGCAAGTGCTGCCAACCCAATCGAATGTTGCCGTGTGACGCTGCTTCAAAGAATTTTACGGAATGAGAAAATAGCTGACTGCTGAAAGCAAGCGAGAGCCCGCAAACCGCTCGGTTTGCGAGAAAAAGTATCTTCGTATCTTTTGCGGTCTTCACGTGCGGGATCTCACATGCTTCTTCGCGCAAGCGTGATTTTCAAGCACTGAAGACGGCCTGTGCGTATTTTAGCATTTTTTTTATTCTACTTGAAAAATTTACTTCAAATACTAAAATATGCACAAAACAGCCACGAAATGTCGAATGCATTAATACTTCATATTAGTAGAGAATAAAATAATCAAACGGTTCTTAACATTTTATTCAATCCCCCCAATTCTTAATATTTCCGGGGAGTTTGTTCTCCGGGAATTTGTTTCTCCCGAGAAAGAAATCCTCCAATAATTAACTCCCAAGGAGTAGCATTTTCCCCGAAAATTTTGGAGTTGACAGGTCGACTCCGCCGTTTAATTTAAGAAATCCTCAGGTAAGAGAGAAAAACTCCCAGGAAGTTTCTGTTCAGAATCGGCCTGAATATTTTTACAATTCTTAATACTTCCTGGTATTTGTTCTCCTGGAGTTTGTTTTCCCGAGAAAGAAATCCTCCAATAATTAACTCCCAGGGAGTAGCATATCCCATAAATTTGGGAATTGCCATGTGACAGGGCAACACTCGATTGGTTTGACGGCACTTTCATCAGAAATGAAAACTGCTTGCTCCTGGCAAGTTGTAATTATTTCACGAAAGCGACTTAAGGTGAAATTAGTCAAGAACGCAGAACTTATACTTAAACGCTGTCTGTATACGCAGAATTTTGTCGATTACTGGAGCCCTCAGCGTTGTTTACCGCAGTGCTGCCACTCATCAATGCCTTTTCATAAACTTACCTTTTCAACTACAATTTTTCGTGCGATAATAGATGCTAGCTAAATATAAACTACTTATTTTTCAACAAAAATTCTCATTCGATAGTAAATTTCAAATAATTTAAACGTATTTTGAATAGGAACTTATAGCTTTTTTACCAACTGCAAAACTGACGACTCGCAACCATCTACAGAAGGAAGAAATCAGCTGACACGGAAAAATCTAAATTCCGCAAATTTCTGCGCTACGGGCTACAACTACAGAAATATTCTGCGGTGTTGAGTTTTCATTTACATGGCGCTCTGATAAGACAGATCGTGTTAGCTGACTCGGGTTTACGTACCGGTAGATTTACATTCTTGACTAATTTCACCTTTACGTTCGTTCGGTTGCAGGGGGTTAGTGAATTTCAGCGCATTTAAAGTTTTCAAAATTGGCAAAACCAAAGTAGAAGTTTGCGGAATGCGCCACCTTTGTGCGCTACATCGTGCGGTAATTTGGAGGATACTCGTATCAAGAACTTGAAAGCAAGTTGCACTTTTTACTAACTTGCTTTCTCCACAGGCAAAAGTTTTTATCTTGATTATGTTATCAGGAATATTTTGCCAATGAAGGCCACAATAATATCAAAACCCTTATCTTGATAAATATTGCCAGCAATTTTTTACTTTGACAGCTACATTTTCATTTGCGCGGTAACCTCGTGGCGGCAACATATTGGCCCGTAGTCATAGTCAAAATAAAGTCGACTTTAAAGTTAGTTGCAGCTTTTTGACATAATTTTCAATGGGATATCTGTCAAAAAAGCTGCAACTAACTTTAAAGTCGACTTTATTTTGACTATGACTACGGGCCATTATATTCAAACAAAAAAATGAGCTGTTTTCTATTAAAATATTTGCTATTATTTACTTTATTTCACGCAATAAAAATTACAGTTGGTAGGCAAAAACTTTTCCCTGTAGAGACGGGCCGTAACACACTCGCACTTTTAGAACTTGAACGTCGACTTGACATAAGTTTTTCTTTTCAAGTCGTGAGGAAACTTGAAAGTCAAGCCATCAGCTGAGCACAGTTAGAGTACAATTCCTCAGCAAGCTTTTCAGACGTTCCGCGCTTTTTAGGTCTCAGCGAAAACTGATTTTCGTTTGACAGATTTTACATGGACGAAAACACAAGTTTTAAGTCGAAAACCAGTTTTAGCAACGAAAACATGTTTTCGATGTCGATCAGAACATGGTATAAGAATGAAAGGAAGAGGTTGTAAATGAAAAGAAATTGAAGGAAAAGTATTTAGGTTCTGTTTTTGTGTAGCAAAACTGTAATCCAAAGATGTAAGAAATGTGAACGAAAACGTTAACAGCCGGTGTGAACAGCCTTCAGCCCACAATCCCTAAACTCGTTTGCAAAGTGTTTTCGTTGTCGGTCAGAACATGGCAGAAATGCCTCACAGCTGAGATCACCTGATTTTATTTGCTACATGGTTACACTAATATCTAAAAAAAAAACTTTAAACAGACTCTGACAAAAACAGCAAAAAAGTTCTATTAAGTGTAATAGCTATTGACCAAAACGCGGCAAAATACTAAAATGGCATATAAATGCAGGAATCCATTTAACTAAATGCATATTTTGCCAATTTTTTACTTTATTTTAATAACTTTTGCCTTTTTTAAATCACTTTAAACACCCTGTCTAACATTTTGGCACGATATTTACCCATTTTGACAGGTACTTTCCAGGTAGCTTCCAGGCCGTTTCCAGGCAACCGACCAGACCGAATTTGATGCAGTTTGACCAAGCAAAATTAGTTTTCTGTGAGAGTCGCCAAACTCGCTCTCTCCGAGTTTGCTGCAACAACAATTGCACGTAGTTTGCCAAACAAAATTTCTTCATTACACCGACCTAACTTCTCTATGACTACAGGCCACAATGTTTTATATGGCATCAGCTTTAACAATAAAACCAAAATTGAATATTAAAGATAAATAATCGAAAAAAGTAGTGCAGACACCGACTGGAATGAGTGGAATGTGAGTTTTCAAGTAGTTCTCAGCGAAAACTGGGTTTCATTTCATAGATTTTACATTGACGAAAATATAAGTTTTATACCATGTCCTCACCGACATCGAAAAAATGTTTTCGTCCGTGTAAAATCTGTCAAACGAGGCCCAGTTTTCGGAGAAAACTACTTGAAAACTCACGTTCCACTCATACCGATCCATGTCTTCACTCTTTTTTTTCGATTATCTATCGAAGTGGAAGTCATATTTTATAATTTTTAATACGCCATTTCGGATTTGATGTTAATTGGCTTTCCAAGGTAAAAAAGGAATGAATGTTAAAGTTTGTAAATGTGAAGAATGTCAGGGGGAAGTGTTTTGGTTTTGTTTGTGTGGCAAAACTGTATGCAAAATATGTAAGAAATCTCAACGAAAACACTAACAACCAGTATCAACAGAGTCCCATTTCAGACACGTCAAGTCTTGCTTTCAAGTCTGCTCGTTCGTTGGCGAAGGAGGTGAGAAGAGAGGGGAAGAGTACAGATACCTCCGTACCGTCAATTCTTTTCAAGTTTTCTTGTCACTTTTGATCTTTTCGTTGCTTCCCATTTAAAGAACCAAGGACTTGAATTCAATTAAAGTTGACGCGTGTGCAAGCAAATAGAAAACACAAAAGAGAATGCGAACAAAATTGCTTTCAAGACTTGACGTGTCTGAAAGGGGACAGACTTCAGCCCAAAATGCCTAAACTCGTTTTCAAAGTGTTTTCGTTGTCGGTCTGAACGTAATATAAAATTCAGGAATAAAAAGTCGATTTTGGTCGAAAGTCGACGTCGACTTTGCCATCTTTAGTCTGTTCGTCGTTTGTGTTGTTTCAATCGTTCTTGTTATTTTTTATCACTGCAATTGTTGGATTTCTTGATATTGGAGCTTATCTTGGTGGAATCATAACACCTCTCGGAGAATTTATATATTCGAAATTGACATCAACTTCTCAAAGGCATCTTACCTTAGGAAAAGTTATCGGATTTTTGTTTACGGCATTCGCAGACAGAGCGCATCCATTTTTTCTTTATTCGGCGGTGGTAAAAAAACTGATACGCATCTATTAATATGAAGTGCGCTGTACTATATTGCAAGAGCTCTATCAAAGACAGTACAATAAATTTTCATAAATTCCCAAACAACCAAGAGTTGTTCCAAAAATGGGCGGACTTTTGCGAACAAGCAGTCGGCAGAAATGCAAAAGTTTGTAGTGAACATTTTCTGCCAGATGATTATGAAGGAAGCTTAAAAGTTGAAATGGGTATGTAAATTTTGGGGGTTGGGTTCCGAAAAGTATCTGTTTGTTCGGGGAACCCTGTAGTCGGAGAAGAAAGTGAAGCATCCCATTGAATTCTTTGGTCTTTCCACTTTCAAGCTGGTGGCACACCCCTTCTTTTTTTTTGTACCAGCCTCCATAGCCTCGAACTAGCAGACACCATTCGGAACATTTCTCAATTTTTAATAAACTATCATGCTTTGATTAATCGAAATTATTTTACAGGATTCGGAAGATGGCGCTACCTTAAAAAGGGTGCTGTACCGTCCGTTAAGAAAAATCAGATTGCATCCTTAATTACAGCCCTGAAAAAGCCATGGCCATCACAAAGTAGTACTCTACCACAGACTTCAACAAAAGCAGCAGCCATTTCGCATAAAACATCAGAGGCTGAAACGCAGAACAAACCATCTACCGCTGCGAAACCTGTAGTTAAGGTCGCATATATTTTGCCAAAGGCTTTAAATAAACCAGCAAAAGCTTTGTGCCACACCACGCCAGTAACATATGCTTCACCTACCATTTCGTTGATGACTGCACCCTCTCGTGACCTCAACTGTACAATAGATTACTTGGAAAACAAAGTGTTAGTTGAATCTATACCCTGCAAATCATTTTTTCAGAGTATTCTGAATTGTAGAGAAATTTTTAAGAATTCTTAAAGATCTCATCTGATTTCTTTCAAAATTTTCTAAAATGAAATAAACTGTCATACTTAGATTTTTTTTTAAGAAATTTCGCAAAAAATCGGTAAATCAGTGAAAATAATGCTGCCATGTAAAGAATTTCTTGCAGAATTTTTTGAGAATTTTCTTAATTTCTCGTACAGTAATTTCTTTGAGTTCGTGTCGCCACTTCATATAATTTTCTTTAAAGATTCGTAAAAAATCGTATCAGAAATGAGATACTCCGAAAGATTTCGGGAACTTTGATTTGCAGGCTATTTATGTTTATGCAGTAAGTTTGTGTTTTTTTTTTATAGTGAAACGGCAAAAAAAGATGCAGAACTGAAAACGAAATTTCTGGAAGAGAAAATGTAAGTGTACTGCATACGTAAAAAAATTGACATATGCAGCAATTAACTTGTATAAAGCAATTAACTTGTATAAATTCCAACAGCGAAGCGCTAAAGACTGAAAATCAACGTTTGCAACAATGCTCGAAATTGAGGCTAGAAGAAGCCACCCGTTTGGAACAGCAAATGTCAGTAACGTACAATATATGGACTAGATAGAATGTTATATTAAAAAAATCTATTCAAATATTTTGCAGTGTAACGCTAAGACAGGATAAATTTAAATTAGAATTGGCATCAGTTAAATATGAAAAAGAAAAAGCTGCTTTGGAGATGCGCGTTAAGAGAGCCGAGTTCGAGCAAAGAAATTTGGAGCAGAAACTGCAAACGATATTCACTCCTAAACAGATTAGAATGATAAAAAGTGGAAAGACCCAACGCTGGAATGAAGAAGATATTAAGATGTCCATTAAACTATATAGGACTAGCCCCAAAATGTATATTATGCTAAAGGAAAAGAATTATCCGTTACCTGGTGTGCGCACCATTCAAATGTGGTGCCAAATGAAGAAAATTCAAATCGATGGAACTGAAGATGACGCGGATAAAGAAATTCCAAGCAGTACCGTAAAAAATGGAAATCAAACAGAAGAACAGCCCGTTGATGATTTAGATAATGAAATGATTACAAATGATATGTTTGAAATTGAAAGGATCGATGAGAACGTTGATGAGGCGACTGTGCATGGTAGTACAGAAGAGGAAGAAAATACTGCAGTAGAAAAGATGTGTGATGATGGAGATGAGGTGAGCAGTGACATGGATGCTGCTTTCAAGTTGATAACTTATGATTCAGATGAAACCATAAGTGCTATAGAAGATGAACACGATATTACGGATGCAATTTCATTTGATCACACGGATAAGGCAAATGAAAATAGTATACTAACAGTCGAAAGTCCCGGTATTGAGGTTCAAGAATTCATTATTCCGTGATGGCTGGATGCTCTGGAGGTTATGGAAATTTCAAACAAGTAAATGAAGAAATAAAGCGGTTAAGGTAGTAGGTTTTTTCGCCAATTGGATTTAGCCTTGTATTTAAAAGGCCAAATTATTTATAACTCGTTTCAGACATTATAAATGATGAGGAAATTTTAGGAGATTTTTATTTTTATCAACTGATTGAATGAAACTTTAATAAATGTGGCGATATCTGCATTTTATAAATAGGATTTGCAATTTCGACAGAAGTATGTAAAATGAGAAATTCGCCATTCGTAAAATATCCATACATATGTATATTCGCTAAATTAGAGCGAATACTTTTTTATGAGTTGATATAATTAAAAATAGAAAAAGAACTAATGGAAAATTGGTTGTATTATATAAGCTAGAACTATGTATTTTAGATATACACACATAAGTATATTAATTTATGCTTTTGTCCTTTTCACAGACTTAATTTAAATATATGCTGGCGTACTTTAGCGCACTTCAAGTCCAGGTTATATCGTACCTTTACTGCAGAAATTTCATTGGGGTTTCGATTATAAACATATCATTTGAAGAAAATGTGTGTTCGTTTTTACCATGTGAGCCTTTGTAAACAGTGAATTTTAAAGCCGTTTTTCTCGAGCTTCTGTTTTTTTTGTATCATGACATTCTTGCAGCAGAGGTACCATATGCCGTTTCTATTCTTATATTTAGTATAGTATCATACTAATTGGAGTTTAAATTGAGATGTTCAAACGTTTTATGTACTGTGTATGTTCAATAAATAATTTCATTTAATTGGAAAAATTTATAAGTTAACGACGTACAGTGAGTGTATAAATCTTGCTGTGAATGTTTAGCTTTCACTTTCTATGTTTAGTTGGATTGTTATCCCCCATTCGCACAGTGATATTTGATACCCATCGTAAGCCTGCAATTTAAAAAATTAGTATATTCACATTAGGGCAATACATCTAAACGCTTAAGTGGCTGGTAACCAAGTAAACCTCGTAAACTTACTTAATTTTGTATGGAAAATCGTTTTATATACGAGGTTTACGCGGTTACGAGACATGAACGCGTTTCCATGAATACGCATATTTATTCAGGTTCACAGGGGTTTTTTCGATGTCTTTAAATCTGAAGACAAAATGACAAAAGACCAAATGTCCGATCCATGTGGCGTCTAAAATCTTAAGAAAAAGTTTTTATATTAAAATTAATAATAAGAATTGCTTATAACTACATTACTCATGAGTTTTTGGGGTAGCTAAATTCGAATCTGAAGTCAAAATTGACTGGATCATCCTTTTTAAAAGAAATGTGTATTAGGATTGGGTCTTTTAAGTTTGTATTTAAAATTCTCAAATAAAAATATTTTTGAATTATACATATATAATAATATAATCATGTTTACATATATTTTACCCGGAAATTGGTTAAAAAAGGTATTAAAAATCATCTTTCAATATTATTTGGGTACAAAATCGCGTCTGGAACAAAATCTCGGAAACGGTCGGATTCAATATTTAGCATTACTCTATAGAATTCAATTATCTTGAAATAAATATTAATTTTTCAATGGTAAACATGGTGAGAATGACATCCTACGGAGTGGTAGTACCTACTTTTAACCACTCACTGCAGCGCACAGGAGTGCCACATTGGAATTTATTATTAAAAATAGTTCGGAATCTTCATTTTTCAACCGATTTGATAGACTTGATTTAGATGAAAGTTTTTGAACACTTTGGAAGCTTGAGAGCACATTCATTGTGCTGGTTTCAGCATACATGCCGTACGACTCGGGGGGGCACCCTACTCATTCAACATTGCGTAATTTTGTGTGACCAAGTACGGGGTGAGCCAAATTTCAACTACCTCTTAACAACCAATCTACGTATATTTAATAAAGGTAGGGAGCCCACCTTCATTACTAAAAACCGTAAGGAAGCATTAGACATAACTATGCAGTGAAAGCTTAATTGAAATGGTTGTAAGTTGGCGGGTTCTGAATGAACATTCCCTCTCTGACCATAGCTGTATTGAGATAGTATTGAACTTCTCTCCAACGAGCCCGGCAATATGCAAAAACTCAAAAAACACAGATTGGAGTTATTATAAAAAGCTATCTGAAGAGAAGTATTTTAACTTAGCCCCATAGAACCTAATTGTACCGAGGATCTAGAAAACATGATCAACGTATTTACCTCGACCTACTCAGGTACCATAGCACCGTCGTGCCTTCACCCTAAACCGCGGAGCAAATGTAAACCCCACTGGTGGTCGCGGGACTCACTTCGCAAATATTGCAGGAAGCCATTCAATAAGGCCAAAAGGCTTAGCTGTGAGGTTGAACGGCAGGAGTACAAGCGGTTACTCCGGATTTATAAAAAAGCTTGGAGGGAGGCGAATAGATCGTGGAAAATTTTCAGTGGTGGCATCGAGAGTTTTCCGAAACTGCCAGGCTACAGAAGATTCTCTCCAGATCTCCTAATCCGAAAGTTTGCTTACAAAAGCAGGATGGATCCTTCACCTTCTTGGGAAAGTATACTCGGCCGTATATATTCCAAAAGCCGGAAAAGCCTCACATATTAACCCCAAGGACATTAGGCTCATCCCGGTGGTCCAGCCGCTGTGGCCTAAGCGAGAAGATATAAAATGCTTTCGGTCTACACCGGAGATAAACGGCGTCCGGTTAAGTCTTGCTACAAAAGCCAAATTTCCAATCGTTATTTTAGATGAGATGCTGAAGTGGAAGGAAAATATAGTCCAGCGTTATGAGGAGGCTTCGCTTCTAGTCCTCTCTACTTGTAAAGAAGATATTAACACAGTATTGTTATCTACGGTAAGGTAGGAGGAGCCGTTTCCTTATGAAACCCTCTGAAAATCTCTTTTAGGTTATTAGACTATGGAGGCTTACCTTGGAACCGAAATGATAGGAAGAGACGTCTTCATTTTTAGTGATCGCCAGGCTGCACTCAAAGCTCTGAGCGCTTTCAAGTTTTACTCAAAGATAGCACTGGGCTGCCGCCTATCTCTACAGGAGATGGCCAAACAGAACAGACTTCACTTCACTTGGGTACCTGGTCATAGGGACATAGAGTGAACTTGCAATGGAAGGCACGACCGAGCAGATTCTTCCTGACAAAGAACGCATTGGTACCACCTGAAAGCTGCTACTTAGTGAATTTGTATACAAACAAGCTGAAGAAAGATGAAGTCAAAGTACGGCTTGTCGAATTTTCAGGCAGATGTGGCCTAATTGGGAACGGAAGCGTTCACGAAGGGGTATATCCTCTCTCTCGCCTTTAAAACGAAGATCATATCTAATGTTGTGGAGGCTCTAACTGGGCACTATCTAATAGGTAAGCAGGCATAAGGACTCGGCGCGCCTTTCCGAAGATGTTGCGGAAGCTGTAAGGACTTCGAAGAGGAGGAAACAGCCTTACATCTCCTATGTAAACGTCCTGCACTGCGTAGAAGTAGGCTGCGTTATCTGGGTTCATCGTTTCCGGCAAAACCTAAGGGAGGTTTCAAATACCGACGCAAGATGAGAGATATATCAGCGACACGAAGTGGTTCAACAGGGAGGATAATTGAATGGCGCCAAGCTGTGGTAACACGATGAGATTCAAAAATTCTCTATTCCTGATGCTCGGATCATTATGTAATCGTGTTACTATATGATCGATTATAGCCTGAGTAGGAATCTTTACTCCATTTTCCAAAATTAGCATTGTTTCAGGATAACACTGCTTTTTTGCTTCCAATAAATTCTTGTAATGAGAAAATATGTCTGCTTTACTTAATTGTATTATAAAATGACAGTTTATTTAATCATTTATACTTAATATATGTATGATCCTCATTTAGATCATATTCAACATTTCAGTGCTCTCACCCTTCGAGACATCACTTGAGATACTTTTAAGTTATCCATTTAAAAAACAGTGAAACAAACGGAACAAGTTAAAATATTATGGAACGAAGTCACAGAACAACACAACTTTCTTGATATCTACACAGGCACAGTAAAGAAAAAATTTTAATGAACTAGTGTTCGCCCAGCGGTTGAAATTCAACCACTAAAATTAAGGTGAGTTGAGCTGTGGTGAGATGAGTTGAGGTGAAATAAGGTGAGTTTAGGTGTAATAACATTAGTTCGGGTGAGTTGAAGTTAGGCGAGGCAAATTGAGTTGAGATGAAATGAGGTGAGTTAAGGTGAACTGAGAGTTGAAGAGATTAGTTGAGGTGAAATGCATTGAACAACGTAACATAACATAGCATTGAATAACACAGCATATTATAACATAACATAACATAACATAACATAACTTAGCATACCATAATATAACAGAACTTAACATACCATAACATAACATAACTTATCGTAAACTAACATATCTCATTCTTCAGTTTTATCTTTATCTCTATCACTTTCTTTATCTCTATCTTTGTGGATTTGCCCCCTCCACAGAGGCAGAATGACGAGTTTGACTTAGGGCCGGTTGTCCAATGTCCGGTTAACACAAATTGGAGATAGAAGCACCGGTTAAATGCAAACACATTGATCACATGTTATATGCATGATATCGAAAACGTTGATAATGGTGTTTAATTGGCCAGTTTCCTTGGGATGACAGAAAAATACTTGATCGTCTAAGTGTTCCATTTTCTACTATATGCAAAATGTTTGCGAATAAGATGACCAAATTAATCTGAAATTTAACTGCTGTTCTTTCAAAAAATACAACATAATTGGACTAAAAGTGTCAATTAAATTGTCAATTCGGCAATTTGTGTTTTGACACAATTTGTATGACATTTTATCCTTAGCGTTTCACGCAGTGTCCTTCCGGCAGTAAGTGTTGCACAAACATTTTGAACATGAAAATTGTTGTTATTACAATGTGGCAAAATTGCGCCGCTGACTTTCACTACAATTGTTTGCCAAAGGAAAGCCAGCAGACAGGAAGCAGGGAAGGAAGTGCATGATGTAGTCAGACAGTCAGTCAGATATTCAGCTTGCGGTTTGGTTTTGTGCCAAAGCCAGCAATGTGAATCGAACGCTATTATTATTATGAGCAATTGGCAGCAGGACACAACATATAGGATAGGACGGACACATGCAATGAACATGCAACATTTAGGCCGCCGCAACACTTTAAACAATTGGAGAGTAAATTCATATGTACATATCTACATATATACTAAAATATACATAAATACATAGTACACTCGTATGAACTTATACGAAGCGAAGCAAGGCTAGTAGTCAGTCAGCGCAGCGCTTGGCTTTGCGGCAAAAGGCCATAAACAAGGTCAACAAAACCAAATATCAAAAACAGCTGCTGGAATGTACCAAAAACAATTTAATAGGTGGCAATTGCAGCAACAACAAGTATACATATATAAAAAAGGGCTGTGGTGGCAAAAGAGTCAGCAGCTGCTAGTTCACTTACCAATCCCTACACACGACTAGCAAGCAGTGCGTTCACATTTATGTCCTTTCCTTTCAGTTTTGACTGTTTGTTGCTGCCACAAAGGCTACAAATCGCTTAGCCATACAATTATTCAGGATATCGTGGTCCAAAAGCCATTAATTTAAGAGCAGGTTTTGGTGTTTAAATTGGACGGCATACAAAGTGCTAGGCTGGGAGAGAAGGGAGCGAGGGAACAGCTGCATGACAGTTTACATTGCTGGCACAAATCAGCCTGGCTAGCATAGAAATCCTGTACATGCAAATGTATGAGTTGTCAGGATGCAAGTAGCAGGCATTATTTGCTTTAGCATGGACTTCAGATTATTTTTAAAAATTTGCTGTGTTTAATTTTCATTTTCGTGTAATGGGTTACATTTAATGGGCGGCACGTGATAAGATCAACTTCCGCGGTATAACAAAAAAAAAAAAATTGGAAAGTTGGGAGAATGCCGGCAGCTGCTGAACAAAAAAGGAGCGAGTACATACATATGCGCAGGTATGTATACCACATAAAGCTACTTAAATTTATGAGCTATGTAAATACATTTGACGTATTGAACACGTGTGATGACATATTAGATCTGTACTGTAAGGCCTCTTCTTCTTATTTGGCTCCACTTTCTTTAAATTATAACTGTCAAGAGTGACATGGGTGCCAAGGCGCGAATGCGCAGACTGCTTGCTTGGTGACGGGAGACACTTCGTCGTGTCCTCGTTGATGACCAGACCCAATCGCTTTGCTTCCTCAGCCAACTTGGAAATGGCAGCGCAGACTTCGCGGTTTTTGTTACCGATAATGTCGATGTCAGCGGCGTACGCCAGCAATTGCACGCTCTTGTAAAAAATTGTTACTGAGCGCTTCAGTTCCGCAATCGCCCTGTCCAAAACCCCGTTTGGTATTTAGCAAACGGCTCAGAGAGGTATTTCCCAATTCTGACGGAGCTGGTGGTATTGCGCAACGCCATTTTACGCGGCCATATAACTTTCGCGGAGATGCCAAATTCAGACATAGCGGCGTATAGGCAACTCCTTTTAGTGCTATCGATAGCGGCTTTGAAGTCAACAAATAGGTAATGAGCGTCGATCCTTTTCTCGCGGATTTTATCCAAGATTTGGCGTGTTGTGAATACCCGGTCTAAGCTGGATTTGCCAGGTCTAAAGCCACACTGATAAGACCCAATGAGTTCCTTAACGGTGGGCTTCAGTCTTTCACACAATATGCTCGATAAGACCTTGTAGCCTATGCTTAGAAGGCTGATCCCGCGGTAGTTGGCGCGAATTTGTTGTGGATTGGACAGAGCACACTTAAATTCAGGTCGTTGAACATGCGTTCATCTGACCTTATTAGCTCGGCTGGCAGGGTGTCAGCTCCAGCAACTTTGTTGTTCTTCAAGCGCGCTATTGTTATTCTTACCTCGCCATATTCAAATGGTGGTACATTGACTCCGTCATCATCGACTGGGGGCTCGGATTCGTCTTCTGCACAGCTTTCAGTGTTGTTAGCATTCAGTAGGGTGGAAAACTGTTCCCTCCATAATTTAAGTACATAAATTCTGGACATCAGTTACTAGGTCGCCATGGTTGTTCTTACATTAGTTCGCCCTGGTCTTGAACCTTCCGTAAGTCGGATAATCCCCTGATAAAATTTTCTCAAATCTCAAGCTCTTTGTATTAGATCTGTTATGACGACGAAGAGTTGGATTAATGACAACACTTTATCCTAATCTGATCAAGCATTAAGTGTAAACATCTTGTCACACTCTTCTAAGTAAATAGATCTTAATAGCTCTTTGATACACAGTGCTTTATTCAATAATTTTGCAGTATGTATTACTGAATGACTTTACTGCAAAGTTTCCCTTGAGTTTGTTGATCGTAGCCTAGCCGCAGATTAGATGGGAATGAAATTTAGTCAACTCTACTGCGTGACTAAAATAAAACAACGCAACGCGGTTAATAATATTTAGACTGATTCAAATGCATCCAAAGTGGCTCTGCACCGCCGCACTCAAGGTCAATGTATTCGAAGAAACTTTCAACTATCTGTGGTTTAATTCTGTAGCTACAGTATCTGTCCACACATTTGTAAACAAGTTTTAACTCTCTGGCCAGTTTTCAAACATGCTTCTTCTTCTTATTCTTCATCTTTATTGGCGCTGTAACCGCCTAAGCGATTTTGGCCGAGTCCAAAATAGCACGAAAGTCGTGCCAACATCCTAATCTCTGGTAATAACGCCTCCACGACTCGTCTGGGCTACACACGTGGGTTTCACTAAAATAGTAAATTATTTCTCATCGTAATACCGCACTTAATCTTTTGTACAGTACCTCAAATCATAAGAGACTTTTCTCTGGCCAACACATATGTTGTTGTTCTGCATTACTATGGTAATATGGTTGGATTGCGAAAGATGTAGGATACAAATTGTCAGCCTGACTCTCAGATAAAATGGCGGTGCAATACCCCTAAAGGCGACATGAGTTACTAACCGAAATCCTAAAGGCGAAGAATTGTTCAATACAACAGTCACAAACCTTGAGCCCGTTATATGAAAAGATGACTCTCAGCATGCAAAATATCGGATTAGGGGTTGCAATCTTACTATTTTAATTTTTAATATTCAACAGTATGTTGCAAAAATCAATTAACACCACTTACTCGACCAAAAGAATACGAGTTTCGATATAACAACAAAACAGCGATATAAACGCCCGAGTAAAACAAACTTAGCACTTTATGGTTGACTTAAAAGGATATAAAGGAGCAGGCGTAGCAAAGCAAACAAATCAACAGCTTAAGCAAATAGATTTCTCCCAGCCATGCTGTATAATCACATTTCCACTTAAACGCGCACAAAAATAGTTTACCATTAGTGCTATGGAATAACTACTACCTCTGCGATTCCAAACACATGGCACACATGCAACATATGCAACAATTCACACATGGGCAAAGGGAAGGACAATTAGGATTAGAATGCCTAACGATGCTATCGCCATACTTAAGCAGTGCGAGAGAGTGCTGTACTTGAAAAATGCAGCAACTAAATATTTAGCAGCCAACAGTTGCACTTAAGCGTGTTTATAACAAATAATATATGCAGCTACAAATCATAATTCGGCAGCTCGGCGGTTCGGCAGATTCAAATTACAATTCAACACTATGCACCAAGATGAGATGCATGTGTGGACAACTGTTTTTTTTTTTGTAAAAATGTGAAAAATCCTTTCGGCAACATTCGAGGGTGAGCGTCAAATTGCAAGCTGATTGTTTGTCACTGCTGTATGTAAGTATCTAGCATGGCTCAAGTACCTTTATTTCAACACCGATGGAAGCCAAAAAAAAAAAAAATAAAAATAAATACCAAAATGTCCTTTGTTTACGCCTTAAGCCTCACGGCCACGCCTAAAATGTTGGTTATTGTTATTTGTTTGGCAAGTTTCTGTTTATTGAATTTTTTCAGCAGCATTTTTTTTTTATTGAAATTTGAAACTTACCCGACCACTTATGGCTTGTCTAAGGGCACAGAAATAAATAAAAAAAAAACCTTACTAATTGCAACCCCTATACGCATTTGAAATGTTGTCCTCTTCCATTGTACAGCCACCCAGTACCACCGCAAATAATTCTAACAGTTGCGCATGTGCATTAGCCACTGCGCAAATGCGTACAAAGTAAATATTGCTTTTAGTTTTTTGTTTTTGTGCATCTGGACTTTTAGCAACATTTGTCAGCAATTTACACCGCTCATGCGCGCCACATCAATGAAAATTGCACTTGATTAATTGCACAACACACATTTGTTGTAATTTTCAATGTTGCGGTTGCAATTGATTGATGGCGCAACCAATTAAGGCACAAAACAAAGAGTGAGGATGGTTAAAAGGGATGCATTTTATGGTTTTTTTTT